GTACATGAGCCCTGCCTAGGGCCCAGGTGGCCTCTTGGGGCCCTTCCCACCGGATGAGCAGTGCCCTCCATCCACGCCTTGTCACCGAAGCTCAGTGGGGCCCAGCAGGCTCAGGTGGGCTGACAGGACCCACCCCAGGGAAGGAGTCTCCTCTGCACAGAGGTCACGCTGGGGCTGTGCAGGTCAGGGATCTGCAGCAGACGCTGGGGCCTGCCTGCCCAGTGGTGACCACAGGGGATGCTGGAGGCTTGGGCTATGTCTGTGGGGTGTCCCTTGAGGGCTGGGGTGTGTGGCTGAGCCTGGCCTGGGGTCCTGGCTGGACCATTATCTGGAGCTCCAGCTGGGCTGTGGGAAGTGGCCGTTTCTGCTGCGCAGTCTCCCCCAGCAGGCCTGGTGATAACGTGGGGGGGAGCGGGGCTGTTGAGTAACACCTCCGCTGGGGCACATGGGGGGCCCCAGGGAGTGTGGTCCTGTGACCTTGGACCTGCTGGCCTGCGTAGAGCGGGGGTGCAGGGAGGGCTACTTAGAAGAGGCCACAGGCCACCCATGTGAGGCGGGGTTGCAGGGATTTGGGTCCAGGCTGACCCCTCCCACAGTCCTGAGGCTCCCTGCACGGGTCCTGCATCCAGCGAACTCGGGCTGTGATGCGGGGGCAGGGTGGGCTGCCTATGACTGCTGGTGCCCGGTGCTGGGACAGGGACACACACACAGGCGTCCTCAATCAATGTGGAGGGGTGTACCTTCCTACCTCTTCCAAAACCTGTCTCTGCTCTCCAGTCGCACGGCCTTCCCCAAACCTTCCCCAAACTTCCTCTTCCTCCCAGGCCTCAGCCTGGCTGGCCCAGCCCCTCAGCCCCACATTCAGCCTCCAGCCACCAATCTCAGAGTCCTTCTCCAACCCATGGGGCCTCTGCCCCCTCTTTGGGGACCCCCTAGCTCCAGGCCCTGCAATGAGATCCCTCAGGAGGCTGGAGGGTCTCTTGAAACCCCAACCTGACATGTCCTCCCTGCCCTCCAAAGTCTGCAGCGGCCTTTAAGACTACCTGAGGTCCCCCCACGTCAGTCCTACTGCCCCCATGACCCCCCTGCCCCATCCCCACTGCTCTGCACAGAGAATGGGGCCCCTTACACAAACCCCGCTGGCCCCCACCCCCCGGCATCTCCTGGCTGCCTCCGCCCCTGCTGCTGGCTGAGCTGGGCTAATTAATGGCTCAACTCTGTTATCAGCCAAACGCTAATTACTCTTTTTAATCAGGGATGCTTGTGTGGAGGCTGCCGGAGGCGCAGCAGGGCTGAGGGGAGACGGGAGCCGTGACCTCATCCCTCCCAGGCAGGCAGCTGGCCAGGCGCGCCCTGC